TATTATTATTATTATTATTATTATTATTTGAAACACAACAAGATGAGTCCACAGCAGACACTCTGTTGTATTGGATCACACGTCGGACACTTCCCAAGTGTCTAGGACTATGTGTGTATCAGCAAATAATGCATGCAGATCCGAGTAGGGTGGCCTTTTGCAGCTGACAGATGGTGATATTGTCCGCCCCGATTGTTTTTAAGTGCAGGCCAAGGTCTTTAGGCTGCACCCAATGTGCCAATCACCACTGGGACTACCTTGACTGGCTTGTGCCAGTCTTTGCAGTTCGATCTTTAAATCCTCATATTGTGTCAGCTTTTCAGTTGCTTCTCATCAATTCTGCTGGGATTGCAACATCAACAATCTATACTTATGGGGTCCAGGGGTATTGTGCTCCAAAACTCTGTCAGCTTATAGTTGTTGTAGGGACAGGGCCTTCTCGGTGGTGGCCCCTCGCCTTTGGAATGCACTCCCCGGGGAAATTAGGTCATCAACATCCCTCCTCTCTTTCAGAAGGAAGTTAAAAACCTGGATATGGGACCAGGCCTTTGGGTAAGCTGGCAGATGGATAAAAGACAATGACAACCAGAGTAGGAAAGGACAATGACAATGCTGGATGGATTATGGATTTATGAATTGGCGAACATTGACCACAAGATGATTTTATTGCTGCTATTGTATTAATTTGATTGTTTTAACTAGTTATAACTGTTGTCGTTATATTGTATTTTGTATATTGTATTAAGTGAACTGTTGGGCATCGAATTGTGCCTTTTGTAAGCCGCCCTGAGCCCCTCCTAGGGGGTTGAGAAGGGCGGGGCAGAAGCACTCCAAATAAATAAATAAATAGTTATTGGTTGAGACTCAGTGAGATATTCATTGAAAAACTATAGCAAAATGTGCTGCAGGATTTTTGCAGTTTAATATAATTTTTTCATGTATTTATTATAGAAACTATTAGGAAATGGCATTTATAGCCCAAGAACAAAAATCGTGTTACATGGTGTTGTTAATGTTTGTGCTTGATGCACCTAGTGATGCCCGTCTTTCCCTTTTTCCTGCAGGTTTCTCCAAGGCCCTGGGAGGCTCCTGGAGGCCGGCCGGCCATGAGCTAGGGGAGGAGGCCTGCCTTCCCCCTGCCTTTCTGCCATGAGAGCGTGATGGATCAGAACACCTTCTCCTCCCGCATCCAGCTATGGTGCCCCCGCCCCTTTGGCACCTACTCCCAGAACAAGCAGTGCACTGGAGGCCAGGTGAAGAAGACCTTCGGGGACTTTGCCTGCAAAGCCAAGGAAGAGGAGGTGGCGGGCGGTGAGGCCTCTTCGGAGAACACCCCTCCTGCTCCGCCGCCGCCTCCTCCGCCGCCGCCCGCCGCCTCCCCGAGCCCCAGCCAAGTGGAGGAAGGGCGGGTGCTCTTGGACACGTGGTACGTCATCAAGCCGGGCAACACCAAGGAGAAGATCGCGTTTTTCGTGGCACATCAGTGCAGCAGCGGCAGCCGGGCGAGCGCCATGAAGGTCAAAGGGAACTGGGGGAGCGACAGCTCCAAAGCCAAGCGCCGGCGGCGGTCTCACGACCCCAGCAAAAGCAAACCGTGCCCGGTCAAGTTGAAGGACGGCGTCGGCGGGGGCGTCAACAAGGAAGCGGAAGATGTGTGCCTTTGTCCGGAGTCCCACGCCGACCCCGCCGGCGCAGATACCACCGACTTGCTTTCGGTCGCCGAGATGGTGGCCTTGGTGGAGCAGCGGACGGCCCTGGCCCTGCAGAACTACGCCAGGCCCAACCCTCCTGCCGCCCCGCCGTCCCCCATGGTTTTCGTATCCACGGAGCAAGAGGAAAGTGGGGAGAAGAAAGCGGGCGCGTTGGGGGGCGGCTCGGACTGCAGCCGGGTGGCTGAGGCGGTGGCTCACATCGAGTCCCGGGAGCGGAACGTCTTGCGCCAGAACGGCCTCTGCCGGGAGTCGCCCGAATGCGTGGCCAACTCCCAGCACAGCCCCGGCGAGGTCCGCATCGCCTTCCGCATCTCCAGCAGCCGGGACCCCCGCTCGCCCACCGAGGGCGGCTCCAGCGCCCGCCCTAACTGTATGTTCATGAGTTGCGGGGGGTCACCGACGGGGAGCGCCGCCCGTGCCAAAGACAAGATCACGTGTGACCTCTACCAGCTCATCAGCCCTTCCCGGGACACCCTGCCCAACAATGTGGACTTCCTTCTGGCAAGTGCCTCCCCAAAAGGGGCCGACGGGTCGGGCGGTGAGCCCCCGGACGTGGAGATGACGTGCGGGGAGAGCCAGGGTGGCTCTGGGAAAATGGAGACCATCTCCGAAGGGTGCAGATCTGGCGCCGAAAAGATGGGGGGCCCGTCCGCCGCTGCCACCGTCACCCGGGATTGTGTCTCCGGCTTCCACGTTGACGTGGTCGTCACGGGGGTGGTGGACCAGTGTGTCTTTTTCGGCAAGGACAGCACCAAGAACATGAAGGAGGAGACCGTCTGTTTGACCGTCAGCTCGCCGACCCAAGAGGTGTTGTGCTCGTCGTGCGACGACCCTCCTCCGGGGCAGCTCTTTTTCCTCCACACGCAAGGGCCTCGGCCGGAGGACAGCCGGGACGTGGACGGCGCCTTCCTGGACCCTATGAACGGCGGCGAGAGCGGGCTGGACAGGGCCGACGGGTCTGGGTTGGAACCCGCCGGCTCGGACACCTCCCTCTGCCGCTTGTACCGCCACGTCTCGCACGACTTCCTGGAGATCCGCTTCAAGATCCAGCGGTTGCTGGAGCCCCGCCAGTACATGCTGCTGCTCCCGGACCATATCATGGTGAAGATCTTCAGCTACTTGCCCACGCAGTCGCTGGCCGCCTTAAAGTGCTCCTGCCACTACTTCAAGTACATCATCGAGACGTTCGGCGTCCAAGCCACGGACTCCAAGTGGAACCGGGACCCTTTGTACCGGGACGACCCTTGCAAGCAGTGCAAGAAGCACTACGAGAAGGGCGACGTCTCCCTCTGCCGCTGGCACCCCAAGCCCTACCATCACGACCTGCCTTACGGACGCTCCTACTGGATGTGCTGCCGGCGGACGGACAAGGACACGCCGGGCTGCCGGGTGGGACTTCACGACAACAACTGGGTCCAGCCCTGCGACATGTTGCGGGAAAGGGCGGCCCGGCGGGAGGACGGGAGGTGAGGGGTTGGGCGGCGGAGTTTGCGGCGGAGACGCTCCCTCTTTCCTCCTTTTTCACGCACTCTCTTCTCTTCCTTCGGCTCTCCCTTGTGTGTGCGAGAGGGTGCGGCGTGAGTGTGTTTTACAAAATTTCTGTTGTGTTGATTTTTTTAAAAAAAGAATTGCTTGGTTGCGTTTGCCGGTTTGGATTTGGATTCTCTCCAACGTCCCAATTCCTAATTTCCTCCTCTTTGGCCAGATTCTCAAAGGCAAAAAAAAAATTACATATGGGGAAAAAAGATTATTTTATTTTATGTTTCTGCCTTGGTTGTCTATTTGTTTTTGGGCACTGAGTGTTTGCCATTTTTGTGATATTTTTGTGAGTCCCTTTCGGGGAGAGAGGGCGGGTTATAAATAAATTATTATTATTATTATTATTATTATTATTATTGGATTGTTGTAGATTTTCCGGGCTATATGGCCATGTTCTAGAGGCATTTTCTCCTGACGTTTCGCCTGCATCTATGGCAAGCATCCTCAGAGGTAGTGAGGATGCTTGCCATAGATGCAGGCGAAACGTCAGGAGAAAATGCCTCTAGAACATGGCCATATAGCCCGGAAAACCTACAACAACCCAGTGATTCCGGCCATGAAAGTCTTCGACAAAACATTATTATTATTATTATTATTATTATTATTATTATTATTATATTGTCAAAGGCTTTCATGGGTTGTTGTAGGTTTTTCAGGGTCTCTGGCCATGTTCTAGAAGCATTCTCTCCTGACGTTTCGCCTGCATCTGTGGCAAGCATCCTCACAACCTTGCCACAGATGCAAGCAAAACGTCAGGAGAGAATGCTTCCAGAACATGGCCAGACAGCCCAAAAAACCTTCAACAACCCATTATTATTAATAATTAATTAATTAATAACTTTATTTATATTCTGCCATATCTCTCCGAGGGGACTCAAAGTAGAAAAATATGTTAAACAAAAGTTTAAAAAGCGAGGGAAGAAACTGTCTCGATTGGCTCGACATCGAATTAGTGGGGTTTTTCGGCAACTAGGCCCCAATTAGGCACTTTCTGTCACCAGCTCCACTTTCTGGCTTCTCTTCCTGAATATCTTATTTCAGATAATCTGATAGTGAACACATTTTGGTGCTCTGTTTTCTCCCCGCAAACCGGTTTCGGTCCCACCTCGTACCCACCAAAAGAACCCCAAAAAATGAAGGATGGCGGAACTACCAATCTGCCTGTTCCCACATCACATCTACATTCTGATCCCTCCTTGGAGTGATGGGAGTTGTAGTCCAACCATGATAGTGAAATTGCGTTGTTGTGAGTTTTCTGAGCTGTCTGGCCATGTTCCAGAAGCATTCTCTCCTAATGTTTCGCCCGCATCTGTGGCAGGCATCCTCAGAAGTTGTGAGATGAAATGTCAGGAGAGAATGCTTCTGGAACATGGTTATACGGTCCGGAAAACTCATAACAACTCAATAATAATAATAATGTTGGGTTGCTGTGAGTTTTCCAGACTGTCTGGCCATGTTCCAGAAGCATTCTCTCCTGACATTTCGCCTACATCTATGGCAGGCATCCTCAGAAGTTGTGAGACGAAACGTCAGGAGAGAATGCTTATGGAACATTGCCATAAGGCCCGGAAAACTCACAACAACTCAATAATAATAATAATAATAATAATAATAATAATAATAATAATAATAATATAATGGGTAGCTGTGAGTTTTCTGGTTTGTCTGGCCATGTTCCAGAAGCATTCTCTCCTGACATTTCGCCCGCATCTGTGGCAGACATCCTCAGAAGTTGTGAAGTCTGTTGGAAACTAGGAAAATTGGGTTTATATATCTGTGTCCAACAGACCTCACAACCCCTGAGGATGCTTCCCATAGATACAGGCGAAACGTCAGGCGAGAATGCTTCTGGACCCGGAAAACCCACAGCAACCCAATAATTCCAGCCATGAAAGCCTTCAACAATACAGAGTGAAATTGGTTTCATATTGTTGTTTTAATGATTATAGTCCAGAAAGGTAAATCAGGATGCTATGAGTGTCCCGAAAATGGTTGGACTGCACCTCCCATCACTCCCAAGTTAGGGGTTCATTGGAGTTGGGAATCCGAAAATAAAATATATGTATGACAGATTCCTCAGACTTTAAGGCAAGAGGAGACAGCCTTTTGGGCACTATCCCTTTCCTAGCTGCTGAGCACAAGTCCTTTCTCGGTCCAGTTCTTCCCTCCTACAGTTTGTGTCCGAACTGGAAGCTTGATTTCCTCCCTTTGGTGAAAAATACAGGCCTCTTAAATGTTCTTCCATTTGGGTGTCTTTCTCACCCTTCTCCCCCAAAACCCCACAACCAGATCTTTCCCAGACTATAATCAAATAATAATAATTAAATAACCTTTATTTCTATTCCGCCCTCTTTCCCCGAGGGGACTACAACTTCCAGAATCTCTAGTCAGTACCGTAACCGGCCACAATGACTTTAATTATGATGTCCCATAATTTCAAAACATAGCTTCCAAAGGCCTTGTTAAGCCTTTGATTGCTCTTTCCAACCTGTTTTTTCTTATTGTAGAGCTGCATCAGGCATGGGAAAAGTTCAGTCCTCCCTCCTGGTGTTTTGGACTTCAACTCCCACAATTCCTAACAGCCTACCATCTGTTAGGAATTGTGGGAGTTGAAGTCCAAAACACCTGGAGGGAGGGCCGAACTTTGCTCATGCCTGAGCTTAATACAGCCCAAATCTCTATTTCTGGACCCCAAAATCCATCTCTTTCCCCTTCCAAACACATCTTTTGCTTCCAGACTCTTTTCTTTAGCCCTTCTGCCTCGTTCCCCAAATGGATTCTCTCTTGCAAAATACCTTTTGGGGTCCTGCATCTCTATCACAATGGTCTCAATGTCCTTAGCTGAGTGTCAACAAACCCAAAGGGTCATTTTTGGCACATTGGAAGATGTGGAGGAGGGCCAAAGTTTGCCCATGCCTGAGCTACATGCAGCCCAGATCTCTGGTTCTGAACTCCAAAATCAATATTTCTCCCCCTTTTTCTTCCAGACTCCTTTCTTTAGCCCTTCTGCCTCTTTCCCCAAATGGATTCCCACTTGCAAAATACCTTTTGAGGTCCTGCATATCTTATCACAACAGCCTCATTGCCCTTAGCTGAGTGTCACAAACCCATAGGGTCATTTTGGCACATGGGAGGATGTGGAGGAGGGCCGAAGTTTGCCCATGCCTAAGCTACATGCCGCCCAAATCTCTGGTTCTGGACCCCAAAATCCATCTGTTCTCCTTTTGCTTCCAGACTCCTTTCTTTAGCTGTTCTGCCTCTTTCCCCAAATGGATTCCCTCTTGCAAAATACTTTTTGATGTCCTGCATGTCTATCACAACAGCTTCAGTGCCCTTTGCTGAGTGTCACAAACCCATAAGGTCATTTTTGGCACATGGGAGGATGTGGAAGAGGGCCGAAGTTTGTCCATTCCTGAGCTACATGCACCCCAAAATCTATCTCTCCCTTTCCAAACACATCCTTTGCTTCCAGACTCCTTTCTTTAGCCCTTCTGCCTCTTTCCCCAAATAGATTCCCACTTGCAAGATACCTTTTGGGGTCCTGCATCTCTATCACAATGGTCTCAATGTCCTTAGCTGAGTGTCAACAAACCCATAAGGTCATTTTTGGCACATGGGAGGATGTAGAGGAGGGCCGAAGTTTGCCCATGCCTGAGCTACATGCAGCCCACCTGATTCTGGACCCCAAAATCCATCTCTTTCCCCTTCCAAACATATATCTTTTGCTTCCAGACACCTTTCTTTAGCCCTTCTGCCTCTTCCCTAAATGGGTTTCCACTTGCAAAATACTTTTTGAGATCCTGCGTCTATATCATAACAGCATCAGTGCCCTTAGCTGAGTCACAGACCCATAGGGTCATTTTTGGCACATGGGAGGATGTGGAGGGCCAAAATTTGCCCATGCCTGAGCTGAATGTAGTCCAAAACTCTGGTTCTGTATCCCAACATCTATCTCTCCCCTTCCAAACACATATTTTGCTTCCAGACTCTTTTCTTTAGCCCTTCTGCCTCTTTCCCCAAATGGATTCTCTCTTGCAAAATACCTTTTGGGGTCCTGCATCTCTATCACAACAGCCTCAGTGGCTACAGCTGAGTGTTACAAACCCATAAGGTCATTTTTGGCACATGGGAGGATGTGGAGGAGGGCCGAACTTTGCCCATTCCTGAGCTAAATGCACCCCAAAATCCATCTCTCCCTTTCCAAACACATCCTTTGCTTCCAGGCTCCTTTCTTTAGCCCTTCTGCCTCATTCCCCAAATGGATTCCCTCTTGCAAAATACCTTTTGGGGTTCTGCATATCTTATCACAACAGCCTCAATGCCCTTAGCTGAGTGTCACAAGCCTATAGGGTCATGTTTGGCACATGGGAGGATGTGGAGGAGGGCTGAAGTTTGCCCATACCTGAGCTAAATTCACCCCAAAATCCATCTCTCCCTTTCCAAACACATCTTTTGCTTTCAGGCTCCTTTCTTTAACCCTTCTGCCTCTTTCCCTAAAAGGATTCCCACTTGCAAAATACCTTTTGGGGTCCTGCATCTCTATCACAACAGCTTCAGTGTCCTTAGCTGAGTGTCACAAACCCATAGAGTCATTTTTGGCACATGGGAGGAGGTGGAGGAGGGCCAGTGTTTGCACATGCCTGAGCTACATGGAGCCTGAATCTCTAATTCTGGACCTCAAAATCCATCTTTCTCCCCTTTTGCTTCCAGACTCCTTTCTTTAGCCCTTTTGCCGCTTTCCTAAATGGATTCCCACTTGCAAAATACCTTTTGAGGTCCTGCATATCTTACCACAAAGGCCTCAGTGCCCTTAGCTGAGTGTCACAAAGCCATAGGGTCATTTTTGGCACATTGGGTTGGAATGGGAGAATCATAATAAACTCTCCAAAAGGACTTGGGGTGGCTCACAACAGAATCAAGTCACAATACCTACGGAAGCAGAAACCAAATAGACAAGGCATCATATACAACTAATAATCATAATAATAAAAAAAATGATATCACAATAAATAAAAACACAGGTTAAAACCCTTGGCTGTCTTTCGCACTACACGGTTATACTGCCACGATTCCACATTGACGG